ATGAATAATTAACAAAGTAAATAATCAAAGGTTACGGGATGTAGAATATAATATAAAATCACCATCTACACTTTCACAATACCTAAGACCAAACACAAGTTAACCAAAACTAGTTATATTGTGAAAGCATTAGACAAAATATGATTGAACACTTTGTATAAAATTTATAAAATAAAATATATCAGAAAAATAAATTTAAAGAAGTTTTGGATTTGGTCCATGGTATAAACTTTAAAGACTACAATTCATAATACAATATAAACCCTTACCAAAGCTAGCCCTTAAAGTTTGGATATGCAAATAAAACATGCTTGTCCTGTTCAATCTACACTGACAAAGCACAAACATTTGCCAAATCTAGATTGATGGCTGAGGAAATGGAGTTGCTTCATGGAGCATATCAAAGAATAGAGAGAAAGACATCTAGAGTAGCGACGAAAGAGGAGGGATGAGTGGAAAGAACATGTCGCAGAGGCACAAGCTTTGAAGGGAGAATGGTTGGGGGAGTGGCAATTGCAAAGGTGAGAATAAAGAAGACGAGCAAGGTTATAATGGCTCTGTTCTCCAATTAGCGATTTAAAACATAATATTGGATGATTGTTATTAACTGACCAGTATAATAAATATATATTGGACAGTTGTACTTCTTAACTGTCCAGTATGTATTTAATATTAAAAAATTAAAATTTTAAAATACATATTGGACGATTGAGAATGAAGAAGACCAGCTAGGTTCTAATGGCTCTGTTCACCAATTAGCGATTTAAAACATAATATTTGATGATTGTTATTAACTGACCAGTATAATAAATATATATTGAACAGTTGTATTTCTTAACTGTCCAGTATGTATTTAATATTTAAAAATTAAAATTTTAAAATACATATTGGATGATTTTTAAAATAATGGTCTAATATATATTTATATATTCATTTAAAAAAATAACTATCTAATATATATTTATATATTGGACAGTTATTTTAAAAACTGTCCAATATGCTTCTCTATCTTTACTTATTAGACAGTTGTATATATAACCGTCCAATAAAGAGTGTCATATATGAGAAATTTTGTAATAGTGATATTACTTGCTACAATTTATATACTTTCTGTGAACAACAAACCTCTCCTAATATAAATAATTACAAAACAAAAATATTAATTTATTTTTAAGATTTCATTTTTATCCATTCAACTGTTAGTTAACCGTTAAGTTATATATATTCAACCAAAATACCCCTTCATTAAATATAAATTTTTTTTAAAAATCATTCAAATGAAAAGAAAAAAATTTATACATATGTTTTTTAAAATTTTTATTTATATTTAAAATTTTTTTGGTTATATAAATGTATTTATTTAGTAACATTTTCTAAAATTTAAAATGTATTTATTTAGTAATATTTTCTAAAATTTAAATATATAAATTGGACAAAATATATTTCAAACACGCAGTTAAAAAATTAATGAAGTAAGGATTTAATATAACAAAGTACATAGCATAATGTATAATTATGTTTTATTTTATTAATTTTAACACAATTTTGAATTATTTATTTAAATATCATCTTAATTATTTAAAGTTTTTAAAATTGGGAGAAGGAGTAGACAATTAGATCATAGGGGTAAAATAATTATTTTAAAATTTTCAACATACTTACATATACAAAATTAAATATTTTGAAATATTTAATGGAATGTTCCTAACAGAGTTAACAATTAGACCAAAGTGTAGGTTTTCACCCAAAATGCTTCTGGTTATTATAAGTTATTAAACCATCAAACACAACCGATCATACTCATATTATTTCATAGCCAACGATTTTCTTTATGATGATACCATAATTGATTCATTTCTTCCTTAATTATATGGGCTTCAATCTCAGCGTTTCTTGCCCATTTTTAAAGCCTAATTATTCTCAATTAATATATCATTTATGATATGCAAAATTGCAAGTTTCACGGTTTTACCTGATGAAGCAAATAATAAAAGAGACTAAACTATACAATTCGGGTGGTACTAGATGGTGTAGGCTTCCTTGCAGCTGTGCCAACTTTTCAAGATTGGATTCCAATTATTAGCTACATGCTTATATATCAACTTATCAAAGACAACAAAAACATCGATCAAAAATTTAAAAAAATTATTAGAATCAAAGAAACAATATTTAAGTACGATACATTCTACTCCCAGTGGAAATAAGATGACATGAGATTTAATTTGACAATCAAAGAAGCCAAGAGAGGAACCTGAAGCGGACTTAAAGTCTGAGGATTATAAACCTGTTAAATCATACTGTAAACAAAGCTCATGGAAAAGATCAAGTCGCAAGGGTGATTCATCGATCCCAATACCATTAGTGTTCATGCTAGTTTCCACCTAAAATGTGTGCTTTTGATAGTTTTATGTGAGTCTGGATTTTGGAATAAATTTGACATTTTTTATGTCCATATTTTCACCATTGTCCATTTTAGCATATACTTTATATATCACATGCACCCTAACATTCAATTGTTTATAAACATCATTAAAACTCACTACCTCATCATCACCACACCTCTACCAGGTCCAAACCCACCAAGTTTAGTATAGCCAACCAATACTCTCAAAATTGTTGGCAATAGCGAGTAAAATCATAGCATGAGTTGTACTTAAGGATAATGTCTTTACAAGGTATTTTGTCACATTGAGTTGATTAGCAACACCTCTCCATGATTAAATAGACTCTTTCTACAAAAAGTAAAGACATAAAACAACAAAAATTCTCAAAATATAAACTCAAGTTATACAGCACTAATGAAGCAATGTAATAGAGGAGAAGAGAAAGGTCATCTTAGAGGCTTATTTGATCCAAAACATGTAGTAAGAACTTACTTTTATAGGTAGATATCTCAAAATTGGGCAACAAAAACACATTAAACATAATAAAAAATATTTTCATATAATAATGTGGGTTTAATGCATTGGTTACAGCATAAACTAATTTAAATAGTAACTAATATTATTAATTTATAATAATTTTTTTAAAATACTTATAAATATTTTATAATATCTAACACTCTCCCCTCCAACTAAATAGAGGGTTAGCCTCCTCGAATGCTATCAACGGAGTAGACGCTGGCCCCTAGTGCCAATCTTTTTATTTATTCACATATCCAAAGAATTTAGGTATGAAGTGCAACATCCTTTTAACCATTTGGCAGATTTTTTTTTTTTCTTTCGGTTATCCAAGATATCCCCATAGCTAGTAGCTGTAAAACTAATTTCTTAAAGAATCTGAGCATTATTTAAAATATTGTCTTCTCCCAATAGATGCTTTTCCAACACACATCCAGAAATTGAACCCTTGAAATGATATTTAAGAGATCCAGATCATTATACCATTTATACCATACCCATTTAGTATTTTATAAAGTTTTGAGTGCTAAGGCTTTTAATTTCTGTAACTTGAAAGGTCATTTAGACTTTTGTATGTATTTATTAATTATAAATGATCAATAATTATTAACTTATTAATTTTTCCTTTATAATGCATATCAATTGTTCTGAAATTGTCAATGTCTCCGCAAAATGGTCAATAATTTTAATACGCTTGATTCAATTTAAATTCAGCAACAATTATTATATAACAATTTTATCCTATACGTGCATTGCACAGGGTTAACATGTATGTTGTTAATGTGTTAAGCGATATGAATTTCCCTTTCGTGGACATTGATAATTCATTTTTATTTAGTTATTATCTATTAGGAATGTTTTCAAAATTTATAATAAATGTTATAGGACTGGTTTTATATTTGCGAAGATGGACGTATAATTTGCTTTCCTTTTTTATCCTTAAAATAGTGATCATAGAGTATATTTTGTAACTATTGTTATATCGATTTTTATCATTCCTCACATTATACTTAAAAAGTTATTTTGTGAAAGATTTTACTCTCCTATCCATCACCACAGAAGTTAATATTTAGTTAATTTATATTTTATATTCTTCTTTTTATAATGATAATGAAAACTTTAGTTGTCATAAATTTTGTCATTTCCAATGATTTAATACTGATTTTTCATTGCTTTTATTAATCAATTTACAACTTGGATTCATCTTTTTATAATCAAAAGTAGTTTTTTTTTTATGCCAAAAGAAAATTCCATTAATTGAAAGAAAAGCTGACAAGTGCAGGGCTTCACATGTAAACAAAGATCAAAAGATGAAAATTTGCCAAATTCCACTACGCGGTCAGACCCCTAACATTAGAAAGTGAAAATAGAAATTTAACTTGTCAAGTATATTATTAATGTTTTTGTCACTTCAATGGAGTGATTTGATAATCATTTTCTTTAATTATTAACTTATTAATGTTAATTTGCACTAAGATGAGTTTTTTCATAATGAAAAATTAGAAAGTGAAAGTGTTTAGACTTAACAAATTTAATAAATCTTCTCTTAAATTGAGATTTCTCATATGATAGGATAAATTATTCTTTTTGGTTTATGAATTTTCTTTGAGAGAATTATGTTTAGGTTCTCATAATACAATTAAATATTATAAAATTTATTGATAAGTTATCATTTTACAAACTTATGATATTTAATTGTATTTTAGTCTTTTGAATGATTCGAATATAATTCTATCATATTTTGGGAAAATGGAAATAATCTGAAAATAATAAATTTATGACAATTAAATTTCAATTTTTTTTCTAAAAATAAGCTTTAAATATTAATTAAAATATTTAAAACTAAAATTTCAATTATAAGCTGAGAGTTATATTTAAAATTTAAATATATTATTTATAATTATAAATTTTAAATTTATAAATATATAAATTGATATTTAAAATTTATTTTTTAAAAAATTTTAATGGACACTTAACTATAACAAAATTTTTATTATGATACTTTATTATTACCTTCCCTTTTCTTTTCTATAAACACGTGCATGGCACGTGCTCAACGGAATATTGTTCCCCATTTTTCCACCGCCAAATGTTCCCAGTTCCCCCTGTGCTAGAGAACAAAAGAAACCAATGCTTCAGGCTTCAGCCACGAAATGGAACAGAGAACTCCGGACCATACATAATCGGCCATGGCTGCAACTACAACCCTCCTGCTTCTCAAGCCATTCAAATTTCAAAACCCTAGATCTATCTATTCTCATCCTGCAAAATCCACATGTTCTTCCTCTGTCACAATCCAAGCACAATGTGCCAAAGGGAATCTTCTGAGCCTCATTGCAGACCAGGACCGTGGCCTTAAGACCCAGAATAATTCAGAAAAACGATCTCAAATCGTTGAAGCGATAGATGCAATGGCTACCTTGGCTGCTGGTTCAGTCACCACTGGTGATTCCCTCTCGGCCACGTGGAGGTTGCTTTGGACCACGGAGAAAGAGCAGCTCTTCATAATTGAGAAGGCTTACTTGTTTGGCACCCAAGCCGGTGATGTTTTGCAGGTGATCGATGTTCAGAATAGATCTTTGAACAATGTGATCACATTTCCTCCCAATGGGGTTTTCTTTGTTCGATCCAATATCGAGATTGCGTCGCCACAGAGAGTGAATTTCAGGTGCATGACGAGTATTTCTGTTGTTGTGTTTAGCTTTAACTTGAAATCTGTTATTTGGTTATATTAATTTGCACTGAAAACAGTATTGGGATTATAAATCAGAGTCCAACTTTGAATTTATCACCTTCCTTTCTCTTTTATGTTATTTTATTTCAATTTTTTTTCCCTTTTGGTTCGCACTGATGTTGGGGTCCCCCCCCCAAAAAAAAAAAAAAAGATTTACAAGCGCAGTCTTACGTGGGAAGAACTGGGAAATTCCGTTGCCGCCATTTGGAAAGGGCTGGTGAGTACTTCGACTTTGTATGATAGCTGAAGTGAATTTGGTTCATGTTTTAACATTACAAGCGAACTAAATGAATTTGTTTTTTTCTTTTTCGTTTTTCTTGTTCAAGTTTTTTATTCATTTAACTAGGGGGCTGTATTTTGTTGGGAAAAATAGCAGTAAATAGGTTGGTTGAAATTTAGGAGCTCAAATCATTGTTTTGTCCCCTTTCTGTGAGAGAATAATGAGGAACAAACGTTTTTTGTTTTTTTTTTTTTGGTCTCTAATGCGGTTTTTGGGATGAAAATGTTAAGACAAAGGTTGGATTTAAAATATGTTTATTAGTTTACTCTTAGATTTTGTGATATAACGTGAAGATGAATTGTTTAGGAATCGTGGCTGAGCATGATATATATATATATATATATATATTGGATAAAAGTGATTCATTAATTCAGAAGGATTTACAAACTCATCCTTACAAAAGGCCTTCTTTTATCGTCCTCCATTTCCAGAAACCAAGATGGAGGATGAGTAAAGATGCTGCTGTAATCAGACATACAATGAGCATATTTAGCTAGCCTATCAGCACTACTGTTGAAATCTCTATAAACAAAAAGCAACTGAACTTCCCAATCCTTTTTAAGGAGTCTAGCTTGATGTATCAGATCTTGATAGGGATAATTATGAGTATTTTCCCTTAAGATCAAACTAATAGCAAAAGCATAATCTGTGATAACCTTAACCTGCTTAAAACCTCTTTCCCAACTCCGAACAATGAACCGGACCTTGGATAATACTCTCTATCTCTGTAATTGTTGGCGGTAGCAGTTGTCAACAGAAGCCCAAGATCCATTCCTTCTCCTGATCTTTCATAATTCTTCTGCAAGCACTGTCCACAACTCATTAACAGAGCTGCCCGTCTTGAGGGTAATGTAATTATGAGATCTACTCTGCTGACCTGTATATGTTCTTCTGCTCTGCCCCTGTCCTGTATGTTGAAGGTACGTTGAAGGTTGAGGTCCTGTAAAGATTTGAAATACGATTGAAAAAGCATTAGCTATACGACTCTCCTCTTCAACCCCAAATATTTTTGTGCATCTATTAACCCAAATATCCAAACAAGTGTATGAAAAAAGAACTCTCCAAGAAATACTCCTTGTAAAATTTCAACCTATTTCCTTTCAAAGATTCCATCTAACCCATTCATTACCATTAAGATTACGAAAGCTGTCTCAAAATTAAGGAGAAACAAGATTGATCCGTCTATCCTTTGCATGCTTGCACTCTCATAATTAATGCATTAAATCATCTTCTGTGTTGCATCCGAGTTGACAATTGCTGTCCTCAAGAATACCCCATTTCTCCATCAGCTCTGTTGTGTGCACTTTGTCGCGTGAGATCAGGCACAAGAAGGATTTCATCTTCTTGGGTATATTCTCTCTCCATATGCTATTCCATAGTTTGTCTCCCATTCCTTGTGTACCTGCAGATAAAAAAGAGTATGCAGATTTAATATTTAAGTTTCCATCTGGGGATGGAATCCAAATAATCCCATCTGTTTCTCTCCACTCAAGGTTGATATGAGTGTGAGATATATTGTCAACAGTTTCAGGATCAAACCAAACCTTGGTTTCTAAGTATCCCATCGATCATCTTGTCGGATATATTCAGATGCTTTCTCTTCAATATTACAGATAAGGATAAACTCGCTATTAACATCCAGCAGAGGCATTTTTAATCTTTTCCACTCATCTTTCCAGAAAAAGGTTTGTTCACCTGTACATATTCTTCTACCAATCCCCTCTTTGATTCTACTCCACATGTTAACAATGCTTCGCCATGTTAAAGAGGCATTGGTTTTCTTCTTCACCATCAGTGTTTCTTCTTGCCCACACTTGTACTTAGATCTAAGTACTTGAACCCGTAAGGCATCTGGCTTCTTGATTAGATTCCAACACAATTTCACAATGAAAGCCTTGTTTTGCAGCTTCAAGTCTTTTATTCCCAGCCCCTCTTCTAATTTACCTCTTGTAATCTTCTTCCAAGACACTAAATGGATTTTTTTCTGCTCATTGCAATCACCCCATATGAAGGATCTACTACTTTTCTCAATCTCCTTAAGAAGTCTCATAGGTAAGGACATAATCTGCATATAATTGCCAGGCAACAGCGGAATTACAGATTTAATGAGAGTAGATCACCCTGCAAGACTGAGAAATTTACCCTTCCACCCAGCAATTCTTCTTTTTGTTTTATCAAGCAGAGGTGCAAACAGGCTGCATGAGGTTCTTTTATGGGTGAGTGGTATACCTATACATTTATGTAAGTCAACATAAAGATTGGACTACATTAGGGATCATCTCTGAGTCCTTATTTGTTCAACTTGATCTTAAATGTTTTGATGGAACATATTCAAGGGGAAATTCCGAAATGTATGCTCTTCGCGGATGATATAGTTCTTATAGCAGATACAAGAGAAGAGGTTAATTGCAAACTTGAGTTATGGAGGAGGACATTGGAATCGAAAGGTTTTCGTCTGAGTAGAAGTAAGACGGAATATTTATATTGTAAATTTGGTAAAGGACTATTCGACAATAATTTGGAAGTGAAATTGGGAGATCAAATTATACCTCAAGTGGAAAAGTTTAGATATTTGGGAGCCATTATTCAAAATGATGGCGAAATCAGTGGAGATATTTCACATAGAATTCAAGCTGGGTGGTTTAATTGGAGAAAAGCTGAAGGAGTTATTTGCGACCGTAAGGTGTCTAATAAACTTAAAGGAAAGTTTTATCGCACTGCTATCAGACCGGCAATGTTATATAGTAGTGAATGTTGGGCTCTAACGAGACAACAAGAGCATAAAGTTGGAGTAGCAGAGATGAGAATGTTATGATGGATGTGCGGACATACACGTAAAGATAAAATTCAAAATGAGCACGTACGCGAAAAAGTGAGGGTGGCACCTATTAAGGAAAAAATGGTAGAAAATCGGTTGAGATGGTTTGGGCATGTACAAAGAAGACCAAGGGAGGCACCAGTGAGAAGAGTGGAACATATAACTTTGAGTCCAATTAAGAGAGGTAAAGGAAGGCCAAAGAGAACACTTTTGGAAGTTATTGAACGCAATCTGTTAATTAATAATATTCCTAAAAGCTTGATAAATGATAGAGTACAATGGCGTCTTGTAATCCATGTAGCTGACCCCACCTAGTGGGATAAAGGCTTGTTGTTGTTGTTGTTATGTAAGTCAACAGTTAGACCAACACCCATCTCTCTACTTGGCTCTAAAGCTCTATTGACACGAACATTTATAGAAGCAGAGCTGAACTGTTGTATACATCCTTCCATTGCTTGAATCTGGCAAAAACTTGCTTCACTAATCTCGAGATCGTCTACAAAGAATAAATGAGAAATATTTGGTCCGTCCTTCACAAGATGGATTGGTTTCATTCCTACTTTCAATCTTATCTTCAATGAGTTGACTAAGTTTTTCCATACATAGCATGAAGATATAAGGAGAGATGGGGTCCCCCTAAAGTAAACCCTTATGTGGTAGAACATCTTCAGTCACTTCACCATGCTAGAGAATCCTTAAACTTGAGTTATTGATGCTGGAGCCAATAAGTTTATATAATGATCATTCAGTCTGATTTCTTTTGGGACCTTCTCAATGCAACTCCACTCCAATCTGTCATAGGCCTTGTCTAAGTCCACCTTGACGGCTATGAACCCTCTTTTTTATTTTTTCCTTTCTTACTCTTCATAGAGTGGATGACATCCTTAGTAACAATTATGGTATCATTGCCTTGTCTTCCTAATATGAAGCTACACTGATGTTTACCCGCAAGCATATCCATAACACTCTGCAATCTACTAGCAATCAATTTGGACAACACTTTGTGGCTAACGTTACGTAGAGATGATATTCTAAAGTCCTTCATGCTTTCCAGTTTTTCAATCCTGGGAATCAAAACCTAGTGGGTCTGGTTAACCTCCCCAATTTTGTCCACATTTTCAAAGAATTCCTTAGCAAGCTGTCAGGTCAAATTCCCAACAATGTCCCAATATTCTTGATAAAATAAAGCCTGGATCCCATCAAGGCCAAGAGCTTTAAAAGCCCCAGGTTCAAAAGTTGCTCTTCTAATCTCCTCACCAGTAACTTCCTTGTGCAGAAAGCTTAAATCAATTTGATTTAGAGTTGGGAATTTATTTATTGTGCTTAGAGAGATGTCATGGTTAATTTCACTTTTAAACAGCTCTTGGTAGTATTCTTTAGCCATTTTCTTCAATACCGTTTGATCTTTAATCCAGTTGTCATCACTTCCTTTGAATTCTTGAATTTTTTTTTCTTTCTTCTTTCCATAGTAGAGGCGTGAATATATTTACTATATTTATCTCCACACTTTAGTCAATTACATCTCGATTTCCAGTACTAAAAAAGTTCCTCTTGTGCAATAATTTTATTATACTCCTTCCGAAGCTCCTTTTCTAACTGCAATAGGCATTGACTCTCTTTCCTATTTTGAGTTTTTTCAATCCTGTCAATTCTTCTAAAGAGCTTCTTCTGGCCAATGATATTTCCCACCTTATTCTTCTTCCAATCTGAAGCTAACCTTTCTAGGGATTTTGTTTTCTCCTTCAAATTATATCTCTTCCATGCTTTACTAACAATATCTTTGAAATCTTCTTCTAACATCCAAGCTACTTGGCATCTGGAGAGAAGTTTGCAATGCTTTTGATGATTCTCACCCTTATTAATCAGCAACAAAAGGCAATGATCAAACCCAAATTTACTCTAGTGATACAATCTCATATCATGGGACTTAATCTGCCCCTCAATATTTGAAAAATGTCCATTGAAGCTTTTCCTTAACCATATTCTTTTCCCAAGTAAATCTTTCTCCAATGGCTTCAATCTCTAACTATTGTGCCCTATGAATGCAATTTCCAAAGTTCCTCATAGATGTCTCATTGATCAAACTCCCAATTTTGTTATCTTTCAAGAGAGTAACATGGCAGTGTAAGGATTGGGGAGAAGAGTGGCTATACTTGACCTTTACCTCAGATTGATTCTAGAAGAACCAAATACCACTAGCATAGCCCGTACCTCCACTCTAAGTCCATTACTAAAACCCAAATTGCAAGAAATAGTATCAATCTTAGCATTGCTAACTCTAGTTTCAACAAGGACAAGAATATTAACTCTCTAATCCTTCCACAAATCTTTAACCCTTATGGGGAAGGCTTTTGAGGTTGAGCCTCTCTAATTCCATGTTATTATATTCATAACAAACAAACAAAAATGGTGGGAACTAGAATCTAGAAACCCAAGGGATTAGCTCCTCCTAGCATCACTGTCCATTGCCTCGGCATCAGTTCACTAGCATCATCAGACCAAAGACCGTTCCTTTTGTTGGTCCCCATCTCTTCCATCAAAGCATCATTGGCAGATCAGATGAATCTGGTGGTTTTTGAGGTTGCAAAGGCTTTCATTGTGATAGTAAGTGGGTGATTTAGACTGAAGAGTAATATTGGTCTCATTACCCTTAGAGTGCTCTAGAATATTTGCCAATAGCAATCTTTCATGACTAGTAGAGGTCGAAATCTAATGGGCCTGTCTTTAGTGTAGACCCAACCTCTACCTTGTGCAACCTTGAATGTTGTTTCTTTTCAAAAGCTGGAGAAAGGGTCTTGGGCCTATAAACTGGACTTCTTTTTAAACCACTCATTTTACTACTCAAGGACACACCTTCCCCACCCGCTCTTCTGGGGCTTCACTTAGCCTTCTGCTCATTATAGTACTTGGTCTCTTATTGTTGCTCAAGGGCCTTGAATGTAAACTTTTCACTATCTAAACCCACTAATGGGTGCTCACCAACTTTTGCCTCTGTTACTTTCTTTGTGAAACTACAACCTACTTTTCCTTCTGACATGCTTTTCTACTCCTTCTCCATACTAGGATTAGGAATAACACACTCTCTCTCTCTCTCTCTCGCGGTTATTAAGACCCTCATTGTCTATTCCTCATGCCTAGCTCACCTTAAAGTGGGAATCTTAATGTGCCAGGCCCTTTACTTCCTGATTCTGCTGAACATCGTGGTGATGGCACAGTGGATCACATTTGTCCAAGCTTTTTGTAATTGAAAGAATGTACACAATAGTTCTAAGAGGTTTGAACTAGACTATCCAGTTAGATAAAAGAAGCAGAAACTGATACCATGTCTGGTTGAGTTTGATCAATATAAAAACATGTTGAAAACAGAAAACAGCTAGACTCGATGAATAATCATGCATTTGGATATATTTGAATGTTGAAGTTCCACTATTGTTGAATAATATGCATTTTATGGAAGAATCAAAATGCTATTATCTTTTTATTTTATTTGATTATTATATTTGCTATTGATTGTTAGATTTCATAACCCAACAAAAAAAAAAGTTTCTGTGGAAGGAAAATTAAATCATGCAATTGACACAAGTTTTGATTATTTTCTCTTGAAGATGTAACGTTAAAGTTTTCAAAGTGAGTTGGGAGAACCTTTATCATGTTCTCCTTTCAACAGAGGTTTGGCCACAAAAAAGGTTATATCTAGAATTGGAAATGCAGATTAAAAAAGTTTAGTTTGAGAAGGATGCTTAGAGAGTTCTTGCGTTTACATTTGTCATAGAAAGAAGAAGAAAATTTAAATTTATTGAGGTATCTCAGGTGGAGATGGAGAAAGAGGTATCTCTCTTATTGATACTAAGATATTTTGTGCTTATAATGGTCTTCCTGTACATCATCTACAATTGTTTTATTAAATGTGGTTGTGGAAAAGAATTTATCTCCTTGAACTTTATCATTAGGGGCCAGAACTGCTTTGACTGCAATTATTCAATTCCATTATCATATCATTGCTTAATATTTTTCCATTTGGGGCTTCTTAACTGGTTATACACTTGCATTAGCCTGGTTTGCTAAATATTAGGTGGACCGAGATATTGGAGGAAAAGTTAGGGTGTAACATTTTTAGTTTTCATGAAATATTAAGCAAATAAGGGCAAATTTTATAGTTTATTTTCGGTAAAAGGGTATTAAAAATCATAAAGAGAGATGGATACACCCATATGCGTGCCTTTTCAATGTAAGGCTTCCGGAAAGAAGGGTTGTGGAAGAAAGTAGTACAAACTGTTTTAATTTTTTTTTTCCTGAATAATGAACCACAGTTCCAGAGATATTTTTGGTCCAAAAAGTAGTAATAGGTTAAAGAGATTATGATAACTGTAGTGCTCGAGGCCAATTTATCTTTAAAGTGATATATTTTTCATTATTGTTCCCAGCATCTCTTGAGTGTTGCTAAGTTCTACATTAAAAACTTTCTGAACTAGATTGATGTCTTGAGTCCTCTTGTTCCCAGCATCTTGTAGTTTGCCAAATGTAATGGTTTTCACTAAAGATGTTTTTTTAGTGAAAGAGATTATTGTGAAATATAATTAATTAGGAAATATTCTTTTCTAATTAATAGGGATATGATTCTGATTTATAGGGATTTGATTAGACAAGATTATGAGGGTAAATAAGTGATTTGATTTTTTCTAATTATTTATTTGTACAGTCAGCCTTGTAATCGTGTATATATATATGCACAGTGAAATAATATATAATTCTTTTGGTCAAAATACCTTCATGGTGTCATAGCTGATCGACGGTTCTGACCCAAAAAATGCAGACGACAGCGTGCAACCAGCAGAGGAGTCATAGTCAAGCAGCTCGAGACCTTCGTCTATGGTCTCGAGCGCCGAGAACTCTCTATCGTACACCGATGGCAAAACTCCCCTCAGGTTGAGTTCTGCCAAGGGTCCTCTGTTCTCCTAGTGTACGATAAATTCAACAAACATAATTATTGTGAGTGGGGTCAAGCTACGTGGCTTGCTATCGGTGGTCATGGCAAATTGGGCTTCATCACCGGTACTTCTAAGGTACTAGACGAGTTAGACGCAACAGCCCTATTGAAGTAGGAGACTGAGAACTCACTAGTTGCTTCATGGTTGGTCACAGTTATGACTCCATAAGTTTGACACTCTTTCATGTTTCTGCCTATTGCGAGAGACATTTGGGAAGTTGTTCGAGAATCATAGTCGGATGGTGAACACAGTACTCGAACATATGAGCTGAAAACTCGAAGCTACTAGATTAAACAAGCTGAACATGATTTGATTGAATATTGGTTAGAACTAGTTGCAACATGGCAGGAGATCGACCTCAACACAGAAGAGGAATGGTCTTGTGCCCGTGATGCAGCAAGGTACAAAAATTGAGTTGAGGATGAGCAGGTGTTTCAATTCTTGGCTGGTCTTCATCACTCATTTGATAATGTTCGAAGCAGAATCCTAGCTCGCTTACCATTACCCTCAGCACGAGATGCATTTGGAGAAGTCCGTAGAGAGACTTCTTGCTGAAAGGTGATTCTTACTGACCCTATTCTTGTATCTTCCTCTTTTGAACCTTCTGCCTTGGTAAGTAGGAACTCTGATCAAGGTACAAAAGAGACAAAAGGGAAAATCTCATGTGATCATTGTAAAAAGACTGGTCACACAAAGGACAAGTGTTGGGATCTTCACGGGAAACTTGCTGACTGGAAACCATGCAAGGGTAAGGCACGTGGATATCAAGTTACTTCTGAAAATGCCCCAGACAAATCTATTGCTATCCCTCAAATGGATAAAGGCCAATTAATTAAGCTCCTGGAGGTGTTAAATACTCTACAACGACCTGAGCAACCATCTCAAAACCCACACACTGTTTCTGTGGCTAAGCAAGGTAATAATCATTATGCATTAAATGCCTCCTTCCATAAATCCCAGCGGATTGTTGTCTCCGGGTCCTCAGATCACATGATGGAAAACTCCACATTATTCACATCATATTTTCCATGTAGTGGTGGACGTGAGAAAATTGATATTGCTAATGGAACATCTTCCTCTATTGTTGGAAAGGGAAGCATTACTATTTCTGAATTTTTGCAACTGGATTCAGTTCTTCATGTTCTATACTTAGCTTGTAATTGGTTATCCATAAGCAAGTTGACTAAACAAGCTCGTTGTAGTGCTCATTTTTTCTCTACTCATTGTATCTTTTAGGATCTCATATCGGGGAAGATGATTGGCAGTGCTGAGGAGTGTGATGGGCTATACTACCTTAATGAATCAACCGTGAGTAGTCTCTGGTCTCGCATTCGATGTAATCTTATGTCTATCTCTGAGAATAATGATCTTTTGTTATGGCATAAAAGAATGGGTCATCCCAATGTCCAGTACTTGAGTTGTTTGTTTCCTCATTTTTCATTCAATAAAATTTTTACTTTTCATTGTGATGCTTGTGAATTGGCTAAACACCATCGTTCTTCACTTCTGTGCTCTAAATAAAAACCTTCTAAATCTTTTTCTATCACTCACATAGTGATATGTGGGGTCCTTCTCGTGTTCTAAACCGGACTCAAGCCAAATGGTTTGTTACATTCATAGGTCATACTCATGTGTGCTGGGTATACTTAATAAAGGAGAAATCTAATGTCACATTCATATTTTTGGAATTTTACACCATGATTCTTAACCAATTTCACACCTCCATTCAAATCCTCCAAACTGATAATGGTACTGAATACCTGAATAAAACTATAAGTGATTTTTTGAAAACGAAGGGCATCGTCCATAAAACCTCTTGTACAAATATCCCTCAACAAAATGGTATTGCCGAACGCAAAAATAAACACCTATTGAAGGTTGCCCGTGCCCTTATTGTTTACCACTCATATGCCAAAATTCTTTTGGAGTGACGCCATTCTTACTGCTGCTTACCTCATCAATTGAATGCCAAGTAAAGTCTTATCCTATATCACACTTCTTGATCGCCTACGTGAAATACATTCTTTTCACCATCTTGAAAATAATCTCCCTTTGAAAATATTTGGGTGCTCAACTTTTGTACATCTTAACCCCACTTCCAAGCTTGAACCTAGGGCCATCAAGTGTGTGTTCATTGGTTATTCTTCTTTTCAAAAAGGCTACAAATGTTTTGACCCCTCTTCCCGACGTCTATTCATTAGTCATGATGTCACTTTTTCTAAACATGACTCCTTTTATCCTCCTCCCTCAATTGAAAGGGGAACCTGGCATGAATTTCAGTCATTCTTTGAGTATTCCCCTATTCCATCTATTGATCTCAACTCTCTTGAGCCAATGTCTGTCTCTTTTATTCCCAAAGCAAAAGAAAATGCAGGTACAGAGGACAACAAGGACACAAGTACCACAAAAAAAGAGATCATAACCTATAAACGGAAGAAGAAACAAGGTACTAAACCTCCCACACCCGAGGCAATCCTTGATTCAGAACTGATAAGAGATCTTGTAGAAGGAAATAAGAACATCATAGAGGATGTGAATGTCAATAATGATGCCAAGAAAGAATTGGATAGTGATTTGAATTTGCCAATTGCCCTCAGGAAGAAACCCCGATCTTGTACACAGCATCCAATTCAAAAATATGTGTCCTATAAAGTTATATCTCCCAAGTATCAAGGTTTCATCGCAAACCTAGATGATGTTAGGATTCCAAATAATATTCATGAGGCTTTGGAATCACCAAGATGGAGAGAAGCAGTCTTGGAAGAAATGAAAGCATTAGACAAAAATGGGACTTGGGAAATTGTGAATAAACCAAGGAACAAGAAACTTGTAAGCTGCAAGTAGGAGTTCACCCCAAAATTCAAAGTCAATGGGAACCTTAAATGTTGAAGGCTCGGTTGGTAGCTAGGGGGTTCACACAGATATATGGCATTGACTATCAAGAAATCTTTCACCAATGGTCAAGCAAAACACCATTAGAGTGTTATATCTATAGCGGCAAACCTTGAATGGCCTTTGCATCAGTTAGACACCAAGAATGCCTTCTTAAATGGACACTTGAAGGAGGAAGTGTATATGACTCTACCTCTTGGTTTTGATCAAGGCAAAGGTGATCAAGTGTACAAGTTGAAGAAATCCTTATATAGATTAAAGCAGTCACCAAGAGCATGGTTCGATAGATTCTCAAAAGTCTTGAAGTGTCAGAGCTATAAAAAAATACTATTGGATCACACTATGTTTGTTAAACTGGAAGGAGGTAAGAGGTGTATTCTCATTGTGTATATTAATGATATAGTTATTACTGGTGATCACAGTGAGGAAATCATAAAAATTAAGAATGCATTGAGTCAAGAGTTTAAGGTCAAGGACCTAGGAAAGTTAAGATACTTCTTGGGAATAGAAGTTGCAAGATCAAAAAAGGAAATTCATGTATCTCAGTGAAAATACATACTTGATCTCTTAAAAGAGATAAAAGAGACAGGCATGTTAAGGTGTAAACCTGTTGAAACACCCATTGTTGTTCCAAAGAAGAGGCCAAAGCTCACAAAGAAGGAAAAAAGCTCTGATGAAGAGACCAAGAAAATTGAAGAAAAGGAAGATAAGGAAAAAGACAAACCAGTTGATAAAGAAAGATATCAAAGACCTGTGGGGAAACTTATCTACCTCTCTCATACACTGACATAGCCTTTGCAGTAAGTGTAGCTAGTCAGTATATGTGTGAGCCAAAGGTAAAACACATGGAAGCAATATACAGGATTCCGAGATACTTGAAGGGCACCCCCGGAAAGGGCTTGTTGTTTCAGAAACATGAATGGAGAACCATAGAAGTATATACCGATACAGATTAGGGTGGACATCACCCATATAGGAGATCTAGTTAGTGTTCATTCGTGTGGGGAAACTTGGTTACATGGAAAAGTCAGAAGTAAAGAGTTGTATCCAAGAGTAGTACTGAATCCGAGTTAGGGGCCTTAGCTTAAGACATAATGGAGGACATATGGTTGAAAAGAATACTTGAGGAAATACATGTCAAGCTAGATCTACCATTGAAATTATATTGTGATAACAAGGCAGCTATAAGCATGGCCTTAAATCCAGTATAGCATGAAAGGTCGAAACATGTAGAAATCGACAGGCATTTTATTAGAGAAAAAGTGGAAGATGGGATCACTTGTTTGACCTTCTTACCAACAAGTCTCCAAGCAGCTGATATGTTGACCAAAGGATTACATAAGCCTACGTTTGAGAATTGTGCAAGCAAGTTAGATATAATTAACATCTATAATCCAACTTGAGGGGGAGTGTGAAATATAATTAATTAGAAAATATTCTTTTTTAATTAATAGGGATATGATTAGACAAGATTATGAGGGTAAATAAGTGATTTGATTTTTTTTTAATTATTTTCTTGTACAGTCAGCCTTGTAATTGTGTATATATATCTGCACAGTGAAATAATATATAATTCTTCTGGTCAAAATACCTTCAATTATAATAAGGCTATTTGTAAACCTTCACTTAACTTCTTAAAACTGAGTTGAAATTATCTTTTTTATGAGGGCTTTTATGATCAAGTGGTCAGGAGTTCGATCCTTGCCTTGTTCAATTATCTTACAAGCCGTTTGTTTACTCTGGAGGAAAAACCTTTCCTTCCATTGCGTAAAAAATGCAAAATGTAATATCAAGGAGGCCTCTATTATCATCTATATCTATATATTTGTAATATAAAAATTTTAACTAGCTGCATTATTTTTAAGTCATGAATAGTATAAATCATTTCTCAAGCTCTTGAAATGCATGGAACCCACATTAGTTACAATTAAAGCTCAAAATACTTTTATGAACACGTTAGAGATTATAATAAGGGACAAAATTTGTGTCATTTTCCTTGTATTTGCTGTCAAGTTCTCCAATCAAAGCCTACGAAAAAAAAATCAAAGTGTTCCTGCAACAAAATCATGTGGTGCTAATTTAAAAAAAAAAAAAAAAAACACATTCGCATGCTATAAATTTTTTTTTTTATCAGAAAACTTCATTGCAAACACCAATAGCCTGTGCCTAAATCTGTCTTGTAATAAACCTATTCATGGTCATTTACTTAACAACTTAAACTTTTGTGTTGAAGTGTTCTTTGATATTATTATAATAACTAGATGCTTGGTTGGCATGGATGTCGATCTAGAGGTTCAATTCCTTCAGTTGAATGCTGTTATGGTATTTGAATAACAAGTTTTGGCATTTTCATCTAAAGCGTTATTTATTATGTTTTCTAGTATAAAAATGATTTTATCTTCCTTAATGGTTCTGTTCTCATATCATTCTGATCTTGGCGTCTTGAATTCCAAGTATGAGTATATAAAAGGTATAGGTAGGGTAGCTAAGGACATATTTTATATTTCAGTATTTTCTTCGGCATCCTTTATTTGCACCTTCCATTTTGCAGGTTTGATACTGTGTACCTCGACGACGAAATCCGAGTTGTTAAGGATATTAGAGGAGACTATTTAGTTGTTGAGCGTGCACCCTATACTTGGAAAGAACGAGTGTAATCTTTATCATCGCTGCATGCGTACATTCAGTATTTAGTGCTGCTAAAAGAAGCGTACATATGTAATTTTCCTCGGAAAGCATGTATAATATTCCAAGCTTCTTGTGCCTTTAGTTGCGAATCGTACTTCCTAGAATAAGCTGCCTTACATCTATAAATACCATGTGGTATGCCACATTTCAATACAATTAAAGATTAAAATTTATTAGAGCCTCATTTTCCTCTTGCCTTCATTTCTACTGGTAATCCTACTAACTTTTTCTTTCTAGTTGACCATTGAAGATAATCAAAGGCCGACACACTCATTACATTGCCGATAATCTTCCCCGATTTCGAGTCCTAAACCAAGCATTCATTGGATGAGATGCTAGTCACACATGTCAGGTATCGCAATTTTATTACTTGATATTAGATTGCTTGCGAACTTTGGAACATGAAGAAAATCTTATAGGATACAGGAGCATTTTTTTACATTGCACATAACTTTAGAACAGGAATAGAAATAATTATTTGTTGTGGGAAAAATAAAAAGAAAAATGATGAGTTGAGTCGGGCTAATATTTTACAGGTTGGGAGTGGGCTAGCCTTCCCAAAGTATGGGTTGGGTCAGCCCACAACCATGCGGGTTGGCAGGCCAAGACAGCCCTCTTTATATACATTTTTTGTTTTCTTCCAATGT